CACAGTCCCTTCTCCTCCATTCTCCTCTTGGGATCTTGGGCACTCACGCACACGCGCCCGGCATGAGTTTAAGCCAATGGGTCTGGGACTCAAACCGCCGTTGACAACATGGGAGTTCAGCGATATAGCCATTACACTAACTGCTGGTCCCTAAAATATATTTTTTCAACAGAGAACTTTATATATTTTTCTCTCTTAAATGTTTCTTCATTTTGTTGGATATTAATTTTTTTAACCTACATGCATTGCAAAATCTGTTACCACTTTATAATTTACCTTGATGTATTGATGAATAAAACTCTTAATTATAACATAGTAAAAATTAACAACTTTTCCTTCTTCAATGAGAACTTTTTGTGCCTTTTCTTAAAATTTGAAGTTTCATATTTATATAGCATTATTGTTAAATTATTTTAAATTGTATTTTTTTTAAAATTTATTTATTTATTTTCATGCTTTTTATTTTAATTTGATGAGAGAGAGAGAGAGAGCAAGCCACCAGGTCCAGGACCTGAACCGTAGTCAGTCATGTGGGAGTGTCCAGCACCTTAACCACCTCGCCACCTGCTGGTCCCCAATTGTATTTGTTTTATGAAATCAGTTGTTCACATTATAGAATAACAGAAAATAAGCTCACCAAAGATTTCTTTTATAACGAGATACCTTCATACACATAAATTTAGTCAAATGGTCTGATTTACTCAACTTAAAGTTATCACACATATGTAGATATAGCATATGTATAGTTCTCTCTACTTTCTCTCCTTCCCTTATTCCCTTTTTGTTTCTAAGTTTTATTATAGGATCAGAGTCTTTTGTTATTTAATCTCGATGTCACTTTTTTTCATATTTAGAAAATGACAATTTTAAAACTGGAAAGATGTGTATCCTTTATTTTAGCCCTTTATTTCACAGATGAAGTTAACTGAGTTACAAACCGTGGTGGATTTGTTTATGTAGCATTGCCCTAGTGAATAAGCTATTCCTTTGCATATTTTAAATTCTGTCCATTGCATAAAATTAGAATACCAATTTGAGGGAGGAAAAAAAAAAAAAAACCAGATTGATTCAACTTCACCTCATCCTGATAAAAGTTGTTATTTTAAATATATTGTCATACTGAAATGATTTTATTCTAATAGGCAGGGTCTTAGACCTATTCCTGAAGCAGAAATTGGATTGGCAGGCCACCAGGTCCAGGACCTGAACCGTAGTCAGTCATGTGGGAGTGTCCAGCACCTTAACCACCTCGCCACCTGCTGGTCCCCAATTGTATTTGTTTTATGAAATCAGTTGTTCACACTATAGAATAACAGAAAATAAGCTCACCAAAGATTTCTTTTATAACGAGATACCTTCATACACATAAATTTAGTCAAATGGTCTGATTTACTCAACTTAAAGTTATCACACATATGTAGATATAGCATATGTATAGTTCTCTCTACTTTCTCTCCTTCCCTTATTCCCTTTTTGTTTCTAAGTTTTATTATAGGATCAGAGTCTTTTGTTATTTAATCTCGATGTCACTTTTTTTCATATTTAGAAAATGACAATTTTAAAACTGGAAAGATGTGTATCCTTTATTTTAGCCCTTTATTTCACAGATGAAGTTAACTGAGTTACAAACCGTGGTGGATTTGTTTATGTAGCATTGCCCTAGTGAATAAGCTATTCCTTTGCATATTTTAAATTCTGTCCATTGCATAAAATTAGAATACCAATTTGAGGGAGGAAAAAAAAAAAAAAACCAGATTGATTCAACTTCACCTCATCCTGATAAAAGTTGTTATTTTAAATATATTGTCATACTGAAATGATTTTATTCTAATAGGCAGGGTCTTAGACCTATTCCTGAAGCAGAAATTGGATTGGCAGTTATTTTCATGACAACAGAGCATTACTGTGATCCTCGGGGCCAGCCCAGTACAGGTAATTAAAGCATTATTTCATTGATTCTATAGCAATTTTATTACGTAATCGATGATGAGCTTGTTTGCACATTACCCTTATACTTGACAGGGGTGACTATATTCTCAGTCTTTTAAAACTTACCTATTTATATATTCATTCACTTATTCATTTAATAAATATTTATACCTACCACGTACTTGGCACTGTTGTAGCTATTGCAGAGGTAAGTAATGTAAATAGGATCCTTATTATTATGAACTTTGTATTCTAAAAGTCAGGATTCAGGAAGTAAGCAATCACAGAAACAAATGCATGATCATTTCAGATAGTGCTAAGTAGAAAGAGGCAGGTTAAATAACTTGATGTAACAGGGACTGGGAGCAGGCTTTTTTAAACAGGTGATCAAGGAAATTCTGTCTGATGATGTGAAATTTGAGCCTCGTACTTCCTGGATGGTGAGAAAAGACTATCTGAGGGCGTATAATTCCAGGTAGAAAGAACAGATCGCTCTGGTGTTTGTGTGGAGAGTGGATTCTAGGGATCCTGAATGGAAGTTGGGATTTGAGTAGAAAGCTACAGTAGAGGTCCTGGTGAGAAAGAGCCTGGTGCCTGGGTCTTGGTACCTAGAGATGAGATGCAGAAAAATGAACAGATTCCAAATATATTTTGGACATAGGCCCCGGAGAATTGCCTGAGGAAGAATTTGAAATGACTTGTAGTTTTCTGGCATAAGTAACTGGATAGATGGTGTCCTTTACTGAGATGAGGAATTCATATTATGGGCTACTTTTGTTGTCTGATGGTTAAGGCAGCCAAGGTTCCATATGACTGACCACACGGTTCAAGTCCTAGATCCAGAGGCTTGTAAAACATGCTGTGTGTATATTCCCAAAATCCCTAAAGGAGTGAGAGATGGAAGAGAAGGGATTGTGTGGCATGAGCATTTCTAATGGAGAGCGCTTTTTCCTTTCTGTTTCTCTGGTGAGCACACTCAATCTAGCCAAGAAAAAAAAAGAAGAGGAGGAAGAAAAAAAATACTTATTATAATCATCAATGTAGACTTATCACAAAAACCCACACAGCATTGTTGGTTGGTTTTGGAAATAAGCTGATACATCATAAATATACCTCTATTCTTTTTGCCTTTTTTTTTTTTTAATTAGAGGTTTTTACATATATTCTTAGCTTTTCTTTTCTTTGTCTAGCTGTTAGAGCATCCTGTATTCTGGCATACATTTAGGGGTATAATTACAGTCTTATTGAATAGCATTTGTGGAATTAGGCAGAATATCTCTTGAGTTCTCTCTACAACCTTGGTTTAAACAGTTAAGGAATATACTAAGCTAAATTTTGGTAGGAGTGAACTATTGGGGCCTAATTATGGGAATTAATTAGGCGAATAGATCACTTGTAATAATGGCTGTCTCTTCATTGGGGAGACACTGAACACTTTACATTCACTTTCTTTTTTCCTTTTTTTTTTTTTTTAAGAAAGATTTTTGCTATAGGGCGCATGCATTTGTTGGAGTGACAGAAAGTGAGAAATCACCTCCTGGGACAATGGCCACACTGCACTCCTTTTTCCTCCATTCTCTTGGGATCTTAGGCACCCACGCACACACCCTAGGGTGTTTCAAGCCACTGGGTCCAGGACTTGAACCACTGTTGAATACATGGAAGTCCGGCGATGTAGCCATTACACCATCTGGTGGTCTCACTTTACATTCCTTTTCAAATTTTCATCTGCAAAATGTTACCAAACTCAAATCAAGTTCGCTCGCCCAAGCGCTGTAAAACCAAACCATAGGCACATGGTGTGATGAAGGAAAGTACAGCTTTATTGCAAAGCACAAAGCAAGGAGAGTGGACAGCTCATGCTGAAAAGACCCATCTCCTCAAGATGTTCCCCACATGCGTTTTTAAGGGCAAAATTAGGGGCAGAAGTCCTAGGTGCATGATCAGTTCAGTGATTGGTTCAAAAGGGCGTGATCATCTCCTGGGCATTCTTGATTGGCGAGGCCTTAGATAATCAAATTTCTCTTCAGGTGTCTGGAGCCATTCAGCCTGGAGTCTTTGAGCTCACAACCAGCAGTTTCCAGCCTATAAAACATCTTACATATTGAAATGAAAACCTTAGTTTTCCTTTAAGTGAGAGTTTTAGAGGTCAAATGGCCCTCACTCATGGTCCATGTTGGTCATTATCATAACCAAAGTCTGAAGACTTACTCCTTACTCTGGGCCATTACAATGTAAATGGACTTTATATTTTAGAAACCCTAGAAAAGACATTAGGGGGTTCTTGCTCGGTTTCAAAAAGAGTTATTTTAAGATAGTATACATCATCTACATATCATAGAGAAGACTGACTTAGAGAGAAGTTAAGAAACTACGCAAAGGTCACATAGCAAGTAATTGACTCAGACTGGAACTTGACGAAGGTGGAAATAGAGACAGACGTGGGCAGTGGACACTCTTCCGCTGAGAGCCAAGTGACTATGTACTCAACCTCAGTCACCAGTAATAACCTAAGTCAGCATGACATACTAGCCTGCATCAATGAATCGCTGCAGTTAGATCTGACAAAGATCGAAATGTTGTGCTCAGGGGCAGCTTATTGTCAGTTTATGGACATTCTGTCCTCTGGCTCCATTGCCTCGAAGAAAGTGAAATTCCAAGCAAAGTTAGAGCATGAGTACATCCAGAACTTCAAAATATTACAGGCAAGCTTTAAGAGGATGGGTGTTGACAAATTAGTAAAAGGAAGGTTTCAGAACAATTTTGAATTTGTTCAGTGTTCCAAGGAGTTTTGTAATGCAAATTATGATGAAAAGACTATGACCCTATAGCTGCCAGACAAGGTCAAGAAACTACAATGACTCCCTCCCTTGTTTCTCCAGCTCTTGAATAAGCTGAAGAGACTCTCAGCTCTAGCAGTGCAGCCCCAGAGGCCCATTTCAACACAGAAAAACTACTCCAACTCCTAGGACTGGCCCAGGGGTGGTGGGAAAAAATCTTGGTGTGGGCAACAAGGATGACAAAGCAGCTAAATTGATGCAACAGGTCAATGTATTAAAACTTACCATCAGGACCAACATTAGCATAATGGCTATGTCGCTGGGTTACCATGTAGTCGACTGTGGTTCAAATCCCGGACCCGGTGGCTTGAACAAGAAGCCACATCTGAATTCTTCATTCCAAATCATGTGCTTAGCTGTAAAATAGTCCTTTTTATTGTTCTTAGAGGACTCATTGCTTTCTTTTTATGAGCAAGAAATACCTCTTCCTAAAGTGCACTTTGTAGAATTTTAACTCTTTTTCCAGTAGTTTGCATTAGGAGCTTTTACCTTATAGCAGAGACATATTAACATCTAGTTGGTTTCACCTGAGGAATAAAGAGGCTGACCATGGGGCTCCCCATGTGGATGCTGTCACAGTGATGCCAGAGAAGGGATTTTTATGGTTATGTTACTGGACTCCACAGAGCTGACCTTGGTTTGAGTCCCGGACCTGGTGACTTAAACCTCGCGTCAGGTGTATACGTATGTATGTCCAACATCCCGAGAGGAGAATGAAAGAGAAGGGAATTACAGTGTGGTTACCCCCGCCCCCGGAGGGGGGGGGTGATTTCTCACTTTCTGTCTCTGTCTCTCCAGCAAGCACACATGCCTGATAGCAAAAATCTCTCTCTAAAAACTAACTATCTAAAAACTAACTAACTAAATAAATAAATGCCTTGAGAGTATTTAAAATATGCTTCCATATTTCAAAATAGAAAATATAACACAACAGGAGGTTTCGCGTGTTTGCCATCATGTCTGGGAAGGGCCAGACCTTGGAACCTTTGGAACCTGCTGTTGCTGGCCTTTCAGGACCTAGGCTTTGGCCCAATGAGAAAATTTTAAAAGTTGCCCTGTATAGTCATTGACTGGTTGCATCCCTGCTAAAAAGAGACATCGTTGCCTAGATGAATAGAGGGTGTGTTTCAACCTTGAGATGAAGAGCTCGATTTTTATTGAGCATTTATCTGATGATTTTTCCAACTATCCCTGAAATTTCTATGTATTGTGTCTTTTAGGAAATGAGGTGTGTTCAGATTTCTAATTTAACAATTACTTTGGGACTTTCTCAGATCTCTGGGATTTGAATTGGAATTATGTTCCATTTCACTGTCTTTTCAGTCTACATTTAACGTTTTTTTCTTCTCTATTCTCCTTGCCTAATAAGAATTCCTCTTTGGCTTCTTAAGTTTTGCTGCTTAAAATTGGAATTACAGCTTGCAGGTGATCATGCTGCAAGTTATTTCTGGACCTATTGCAAAGGGAGTGGTCAGTGAAGACCATGCCATTGTTAGCCTGGGATCTGCAAGACTTGAGGGTGTTTTCGGTGGCTGCTGTCCACAGCTCTCCACTATTATCTGAATGCTTTGCCAGTATACTAATCTCTTTGGAAATAAAATTCATTAGTGTACTACTAAATGTTAATTTTCTTTTGCAGAAAATACAGTACAATTTCTTTTTTTTTTTTTTTTGGAGGGAGAAGGTTTTTGCTGTAAGGTGTGTATGCTTACCTGAAAGACAGAGAGAGACAGAGAGATATAAAGCAACAGAAATCCCTTCTCCTCCATTCTCCTCTCGGGGTCTCAGGCACACACGCACATGTGCTCAGCGTGAACTTAAGCCACCGGGTCTGGGACTCGAACCACGGTCGACTATGTGGGAGTCCAGCAACATAACCATTACGCCAGCTACCCCAAATACCGTACAATTTCTGAATTAATTTTTAATATTTAAAATAGTTCACTCCTTAACTCACCCTCGTTTGCTTTCCTCCTGACCTGTTCAGTTCCCTTGCTTGGAAGAATTCTACAGTGTATGTGTCACCCACTACTGAGACTGCTCAGCCCCCGAATGTGTTTGTATTGATTTGTTTTCGGTGCTAGCTTGTCCTAAAATATGTGTAGACAGCAAGTATTTTATGATAAAATTGTTATGTAGTGCATGCTCTGTGTGGAATTAAGA